CCCTTCAATGTGTGGGCCAGTGCTCTAACTCCTGTGCTACGCCGGCAAGAGTGGGATTTTTAAAATAATCCTTACTCGAGGACATGTTTCATCAATTTTAGAGAGAGGAAGGGAGGGAGGGGGAGAGAGAAACGGAAACATCAATGTGAGAAAGAAACATTGATCTTGGTTGCTTCCCATATGCTCCCCGACCAGGGATTGAACCCAGAAGCTAGGTATGTGCCCTGGCTGGTAATTGAACTCGAAACCTTTTGGGACGATGATCTGACCTACTGAGCTACCCGGCCAGGGCAGTAATGAGAATTTTAAAAAAGAAAATGTATTTATAATCTAATCACCTCAATATAAATTTTCATCTTACACACTTTTTTCTAAACTTACAAATACTCCTCCTGCTAAAATAAATAAATAAATAACATATATGCATAACATATAATTAAAATAATGGTATATGTAATTATGTTTTGTTATATCACATTACATGATGACAATTTTTTATCATTTTTAATGGATGTATTATAAATCCTGTATAACTGGATGTGAAGTTTGTTTTAATTTTTAGCCATTTATACACAATACCATTTTTATATGATTCTCTCCCTTATTTTTTGTTTTTATTTTTTCCTGTTGGAACTATTTCCTAATGCTAAATTCTCAAAATTAGGATGACAAAAACAAAATGTTTTGCATTATCTTTGACTTTAACCGCCTAACCTTTACCCTTTCCTCAGTCAGTGAATTACCGAGTGTTGTTGATTCTTTGATACCTGGCATTAGTCTTTTCATTTCCATTTTCACTGTTTCAGCCAATTTTGTCCCTCATGCCAAGATTATTGCAGTCTTTTTTTCCTAACTGATTTCCCCAGTCTCCAGTATTTTGCCTTTTCAATTCTCCTTCTCATCATGCCAGATTAATTGCCCTAAAGCAGTGCTTTGGATAAAAGATTCATTGTTTGACAGATCCTTATTGAATGCATACCGTGCACCACATATTAAATCCCTTAACTGGCATTTACAGGTATGAATATCCTCCCCTCTTTACTTTTACACCAGCCCTCTGACCCAGCCGGACTGGTCTCTTCACCATCTTCTGAACATGCCGTCTGTATTACCATGTCTGAAATTTTTTTGTTTGTTTAAATATATCTTTATTGATTTCAGAGAGAGGAAGGGAGAAGAAGAGAGAAATAGAAACATCAGTGATGAGAGAATTATTGATTGGCTGCCTCCTGCACACCCCCTACTGGGGATGGAGCCCGTAACCTGGACATGTGCCCTGACCTGGAATTGAACCCCAATCTCCTGGATTATAGGTTGATGCTCAACTGCTGAGCCATGCTGGCCGAGCACCCTGTCTGAAATTTTGTTTTAGAATGAGCTTCTGTTTAGAATCCATTCTGCTTCCCTTTTCTCAATTTTTGATTCTTTCTTTAAAGTCCCACTCTAGTCTCAGCCCTCCCTCTCTGAAGCTCTCCGTTTTTTCATTACTCAGTTCTTACTGGTGTCCGTACACTTGATCTTAGCCAAAAGTCTGAGAAGCGATTTTATTCTTGTCTCTAAACTGTCACAGCTAAGCAAACAATATCTTCATTCTGTTTTATTCACAAGATAAAACTCTGAATTCCTTCACCTTGTTTTTTAAGGCTTTCTAAGTTCTGGCCCCATTTTTTATTTCCAACCTGGCTTCCTAGTTCCTAAAATGAACTGTCTGATTCCTCTGGGCTCCTCTACTTTATGTTCTTTAAATACTCCATGTCTCCTTGCCAGGTTGCTCTGCCAGTTTGAGCGTTGTCCTGATACACTAAGGTTGTGGGTTCAATCCCTGGTCAGGGCACACAAAAGAATCAACCTATGAATTCATGAATGGGTGGAGCAACAGGTTGATGTTTGTCTCTCTTTCTCTCTCTCTAAAATAAAAATACTCCATGCTCATTTCACATCCATGCCTTTCTCTGCTCACATTTTTGTTCTTTCTCCCATCCCTTTTAGCTGTCAAATCTTACCGATTTTCTTTAACACATTTTTTCATTTTTCATTTATTCATGTTTGCATTTTTGAAAAAATACCTTTTTAAAAAATATATGTTTTTAATGATTTCAGAGAGAGGAAGGGAGGGGGGAGAGAGAGAGAGAGAAACATCAATGATGAGAGAGAGTCATTGATCAGCTGCCTCCTGCACCCTCCCCACTGGGGATCGACCCTGCAACCCAGGTATGTGTCCTGACCGGAAATCAAACTGTGACCACCTGGTTTGTGGGTCAGTGCTCAACCACAGAGCCACACCAGCAGGGTAATATTTGCATTTTGAACAAAAAACCAACTCATGTTAGAATGTATAATCCATGTGGGAGGCCCATATACTTAAAAAAGAGTAATACAAGATAGATATATATAGGTGGGCAAAAGAAGGTTTACAGTTTGTATGGGAAAAGACATGCAGGTTATGATTATTACAATTGCATTATTAACTCTGTGTTTTGTGTACTCACCACTGTAAACCTACTTTTGTCACACCCTGTATGCATATATATATTAATGGTTTCTACCACTTCTTCCAGGTTATCCCTCTTAAGGTAACTAGCATTAAAGGTTTGGTATCTTGGTATGTGCCCTTTCACACCTTTCTCTTTGCCCCTAACACAAACTCTGTGGATTTTTAAATGCTGCTCCTTGAATGGAGCATACTCTACACCAGGGTTCTCAAATGTCCAGGACACTTGGAAGTTCCATAAGACCCTTTCAGGAGGTCTGCAAGCATAACTATTTTCATAATATACTAAGATGTTATTTGCCTATTTGCTGGGTTGACATTTTCAGCAATGGGTGGGTAGAACTGCTGGCCCCTTAGCACTAATCAAGGTAGTAGCACGAACTGTACCAGGCATTGTTTTCTTCATTGCCACATGCTTGCAGTAAGTAATGCCGGTTTCACTTAATATCCTTGATGATGCAATAAAAATTATTATTTGATTAAATCCTGGCCTTTGAATACACATTTTTGTTTATTGTTTTGTTTATTGTTTTTGTTTATAGTTTTATTGAGATATAATTGACATATAATGTGTAAGTTTAAGATATACAGTGTGATGATTTGATATTTGTATATATTGTGAAATGTTTACCACAATAAGGTTAGTTAACCATCCTTCACCTCAAAGGGTGAGAACATTAAAGCTCTACTCTCATAGCAAATTTCAAATATAAAATACAATATTGGTAATTATAGTCACCATGCTTTGCCTTGGATCCCTGGAACTTACTCATCTTATAAGAAAGTTATACATATTTTTAATGTTCTCTGTGGACTAAATGGGAAGTAAACATGAAACACTTCGTTGCACACTGTAGATGGTGTCTCAAGGAAAAGTGCTGGTGCAACTCTCCCAGGTGCAAGCTAAATAAGCTTCATGGAACACCATTTTTACTTTAAAGAACCATTGACAAATGAACATTAGAGTTTTGGAAAACTTGTATCTGCCATTGTGAGCTTGACAACTTCCCAATAAAGACTTTTCTGATGATGTTAACAAATATGATTTTTTATATTGCGTAGTTAAATGCATAATACTACACAATAAGAGTGTAAGGGGAAATCCTGAAATTAAAAAATGTTTGAGGATCACTACCTATTTTCCCACGACTTGCTTTTTCACTTAGTATATTATGAACACCATTCAAGGTCAGTGTATTTATATCTAAAATTCTTTCCCAGCCTGACAGGTGTGGCTCAGTGGTTGAGTGTTGACCCATGAACCAGGAGATTGTGGTTTGATTCCCGGTCAGGCCACATGCCCCTGTTGCAGGCTGGATCTCCAGTATGGGGCCTGCAGGAGGCAGCCGATCAGTGACTCTCCCATCACTGATGTTTCTCTCTTCCTCTCCCTTCCTCTCTCTGAAATAAATAAAAACATATTTAAAAAAAAAAATCTCATCCAACCCTGGCCAGTGTGGCTCAGTTGGTTGGAATGTCACCCTTTACACCAAAAGCTTGCAGTTTCAATTCCTGGTCAGGGTGCATATCCAGGTTGTGGGTTCAGTTCCTTCCTATAACTGATTGATTTTTCTCTCTCACATTGACGTTTCTCTCTCTCCCTCTCTCTCTCTAAAATCAATAAAAACATATTCTCGGATGAGGATTAAAAACCCCAATAAGATTCTTTTCCATAACAGCATGATGTTTCATCATGGGGATGATCAACATCTATTGATGGCTGTTCATGTTGCTTTCATCTTTTTGTTTTAATTTAAATAATGCAGCAACATTCTTTTTTCTCCATTTTAATCCTCACCCAAGGACATGTGTGTGGGGTTTTTTATTATTGATTTTTAGAGAGAAAGGGAGAGAGACAGAAACATCGATGTGAGAGAGAAACATGGATCTATTGCCTCCCATACACACCCCAACCACACCCTGACTGGGGATGGCCTCCAACCTGGGTATGTGCCCTGACCGGAATCAAACCCGTGACCCTTTCATGTATGGGATGAAGCTCCAACCAACTGAGCCACACCGGCCAAGGCATAACCAACATTCTTCACATATATCCTTGTGCATTGATGCTTCTGTATGTATAGTATGGATTCCTAAAAGTTGACCTGTTTTTCACAATCCATCTTAATAAAACTTCCCCTTCTTACAACATCTTCTCTGGTCATTTCTCCTTGTTTTTACCCCTTTTTAGCCTCTTAATCATTTACTGTCTTTTGATGTCCACATGCTATTGTCTTGTTTTTTAGAAACTTCCTTTATGCCAGTCTTGTCTTGCCAACTAGATTATGAAAATAGAAAATCCCTGAGGGCATGGATGGTGTGTTTTACAGTGTATAGACACTTAATGAACAGAGCAGGATTGAGTGTTGATATGAGAAAAGGATACCTTAATGGTTCCATTTAGTGGCCAGATGGATGCTGAGGGAAGCTGTGTGCATTCATGCATTCTTTCATCTTGGGAACTATTTGAAAATTAGAGTAACTCTCCAATTTAATTCTCTCATTTCAGGCAAGTACATTGCCTCAACACAGCGACCCGACGGGACCTGGCGCAAGCAGCGGAGGGTGAAAGAAGGCTATGTGCCCCAGGAGGAGGTCCCAGTGTGCGTGGTTAGGCGTGAGGAGGGGGTATTTAATGGGATCCCTACAGAAAGAAAGAACATGTATGCCTATGAGTTCAGGGAAGAATCTCCTGATGCCCAAATCCCAGGAATGGAAGAAGACAACTGTCTGAGAAAGTAGAGGCAGGGATTGGGCTACAGGGATGAGTGAGTGTTATAAGTGACTAGTCCTGTTCTTATGGCCTCTGTTCATCAGAACTTCCAAATAGCATTCAGAGATCCAGAGCTTTGAGACCTAGGGACCCTCCTACAACCTGCAAAGCAGAGGAAAGTTGGGGAAGGACCAAGGGAGAAGAAGCAAGCAGAAGTGAAAAGGGTGAAGTGATTTGGAAGGTTAAGAAAAGGGCTCTAAAGTCATTGGTTCTCTAACTGTTGGCATCTGTTGCCTGCAGGTATGAGAACAAGTATGTGAAGTTTTTCAAGAGTAAACCAGAATTGCCCCCAGGGTTGAGCCCCGAGGCCACTGCTCCTGTCAACCCATCAAGGCCTGAAGGTGGTGAACCAGGCCTTTCCAAGACAGCCAAACGCAACCTGAAGCGGAAGGAGAAGAGGCGGCAGCAGCAAGAGAAAGGGGAGGCAGAGGCCTTGAGCCGGACTCTGGATAAGGTGTCCCTGGGAGAGACAGCTCAACTCCCTAGTGCTCCACAGGGCTCCCGGGCAGCCCCTACAGCTGTCTCTGACCAGCCTGATCCAGCTGCCATCACCGAGAAGGCCAAGAAGATAAAGAACCTAAAGAAGAAGCTCCGGCAGGTGGAAGAGTTGCAGCAACGGATCCAGGCTGGAGAAGTCATCCAGCCCAGCAAAGAGCAGCTGGAGAAGCTAGCGAGGAGGAGGGTGCTGGAGGAGGAGCTTGAGGACTTGGAGCTTGGCCTGTGAAGCCTTTGGAGAATAGGGAATGGACTGCAGAACAAACTATGGGGCTTTCTGGGGTCCTGGGGAATATGGGCAGCAGCAGTCAGGAGGGGTATGCCCCCATACTGGCTCACTTCCACCTCTCATGGCCCAACTCTGTCCTCCAGAGCCTAGCCTCTCCCTCATTCCTTCCCTTTTCTTCCAAACTCCTATTTTTTGGACTTTCCCCCCTCCCATTCCCAGTGTTCAAAAATCTCAGTGACTACCCTGGGTTCCTTTGCTGCTGATTTGGGTGTCTTGTTCAAAAGAAAACTGGGTGGGTGGGAATCTCGGAGAACTGAGGTTGAGGGTAGGGGGAGTATGCCCAAGTCTTGGAGTCTTGGTTCCTGTTCTCAGTGTTTATGGGTTATTTCCCCCTCCATCCCTGACCCTTTTTTTTTTTTTTTTTAAAGAAAAGAATAAACAAGTAGACAAATTGTCTAGCTTTGCCTCTTTCTTTGCAGCTTCTAGTAGGTATTTTATCCCCTTCAGTTTGGGACAGGAAGACAAGTTTTGGGGGTAGTAATTCATTTTAAGTTTTTAAAAATACGTTTTTATTTTTTTTACATGTTTTTACTGATTTCAGAGATAGAAAGAAACATCAATAATGAGAGAGAATCATTGCTTGGCTGCCTCCTGCATGCCTCCCAATGTGGATTGAGCCCCTAACCCGGGCATGTGCCCTGACCGTTAATCAAACTGTGACCTCCTGAAACACACGGGCCAAGCAATTCCTTTTTTTAAAAAAAAACACCACTTTATTTATTTTTTAAATACATCTTTATTGATTTCAGAGAGAGGAAAGGAGAGGGAGAGACAGATAGAAACATCAATGATGAGAGAGTCATTGATCAAGCCCGCAACCGGGGCATGTGCCCTGACCAGGAATCGAACCCCCATTGCCTGGATCCCAGGTTGACGCTCAACCGCTGAGCCACACCCAGCCAGGCACAATTCCTTTTAATTTTTAACAGTTATGAATGTATGACCAAATTAGCAACACTGAGTTATGACCAGTTTGTTTGCTCAGATTTAACTGAACAGAAATTAGTGTTACAATAAAATGAAACAGAACAAATTTCATTTGACATGTTAATTTGCATGTGTCATCACTGTGTTGCATGGCAATGGGGCCTTTGTAACACCCTTACTGTTTCTAAGATAATCAATCCACTTCACAACTTCATTGGGGCAATTCATCTGAAATTTTACCTTATCAAATACCACCCCAAGATAGCATTGTGAGGCAAACTAATGATATAAGTAAAGGAATTTACAGCCAAAAAGAGCTGTCACTGAATTTTTGCATATCCTCTGATGTCCACCCCTCACCTATCACAATCTTTCTAGTCAGCTGCTAGTGTAGAAACCAACAGAGGGGGAAGTCAGCTGTAATGATCTATCTCAGGAGTTCAGAATTCTTAACCTGATTCAAAAGGTCCCACTCAGTCTGGCCTCATTTCTTGCCATCCTCAACTCTGGTCAAATGACCTCAATTTTACTGAACTATTTTCAGTTCATCAAATGAGCCATATTTTCTCTGAGCCTCAGTCATTTACCTTTGCCGGTTCCTTTGCCTAGACTCTTTTCCTGACCCCCCCTCCTTAGTCAACTCTTACCCTTTGGATATTTAATGTTACCCTCTCTGGGAAGACTTCCATTACCCTCAAATACTAATTTGGGTACCTCTCTAGTTATTTTTTTTCCCTGTTAATCCTCACCCCAGGGTATTTTTTCCATAGATTTTTTTTTTTTTTTTTTTAGAGAGAGTGGAAGGGAGAGGAAGAGGAGAGAGAATGAGAGTATATGGCCTTGGGACTGAAGGATTCCTGGTTCGATTCTAGCCAAGGTGCATGTACCTTGGTTGCAGGTTCGATCCCTAGCCCGGGTTGAGGTATATGTGGGAGGAAACCAACTGATGTGTCTTTCTCACATCAATGTTTCTCTCTCTCTCTCTCTCGCCCACCCCCCCTTCCATTCTTTCTGAAAAGCAATGGAAAAAATATCTATGAGTGAGGACTTAAAAAAAAAAAGAGAGCCCGGCCGGGCGTGGCTCAGAAGTTGAGCATCGACCTATGATCCAGGAGATTGCGGTTCAATTCCTGGTCAGGGCACATTCTGGGTTGCGGGCTCCATTCCCAGTCGGGGGCGTGCATTAGGCAGCTAATCAATGATGATTCTCTCATCATTGATGTTTCTATCTATCTCTTTCCCTCTCCCTTCCTCTCTGAAATTAATAAAGATACATTAAAAAAAGAGAGAGAGAAACATGAGGAGGGATAATTTGTGCCTTGCACAAATGAGCAAGCAGTTAATGAGGACTTGACTAGGCATCTCAATGTGAGACCAAAAGCCTGAGCTCCCTTGTGTAAGACCTCTACACAATTATAAGGATTTTATAAATAAGATTTGATTGGCTGACCTGCTGGTGTGGTTCAGTGGTTTATTGTCGACCCATGAACAAAGAGGTCACCGGTTGGATTCCCAGTCAGGGCACATGCCCAATAGGGGGCATGCAGGAGGCAACTGGTTGATTCTCTCTCATTGACGTTTCTAGCTCTCTCTGAAATCAAGAAAAACATTAAAAAAATTAAAACAATTTATTTGAGGGAGAGCTAAGAAAGAAACTTTTGATTTGGGGGATGAAGAGGCTTGACGGTGGTGCTGGATTTTGAAGAAGACCATGACTTGCATCTCAAGAAAGGCAGGGAGGGGAGATCACGTATGTAAAAGGGTTGGCAAAGTGAAAGATCTGTGTAAATTTGCTTTCAATTTCTCAGGACCATGTTTTCTTTTCTTTTTTTCCTTAAAAAAAATTTTAAACTCTCACCCGAGGATATTTTTTCCATTGCTTTTCAGAGAGAGTGGAAGGGGGAGAGAGAGAGAGAGAAACATCGATGTGAGAGAGACACATTGATTGGTTGCCTCCCTCACGAAACCAGATCGGGGTGGGGGATCGAGCCTGCAACTGAGGTACGTGCCCTTGACCAGAATCGAGCCTGGGACCCTTCAGTCCACTGGCTGATGCTTTAACCACGGAGCCAAACTGGCTAGGGCCAGGACCACGTTTTCTTACATAAAATCAATGTTAGCCACCTGATATAGGATGAAATTTTGCACATAAGGTCGTGTTTTTCTAAATGTGAGTAATGAAGTGAATTTAGAAAGTTGTGACCAGTATAGGAACTAGCAGAGACTGATGCTTAATAAGGGTAAACATGTCTCATGATAATTTTGTCTCAGAAGTAAGAAATATTCCTTACCTTGGTTTGCAGGAAAATAAATTTGAAAGCCACTAATAAAATCAATACTAGGGGCTGAAGCACCACACACTCTCCTCTGGTCTTTATGTTGGGGAGGGTAGAGTGGAAGGATATTAGTTTAATTATTTCCTCAATGGGCCCTTCCTTGTAGTTCATGGCAAAGTAAATTACTCCCTGGCTTTCTTTTTACTCCTGAAGCTATGTTACTATTTATTTGGAATTTCTTTCCTCCTTGCAGAGATTCCCTTCTAATGTATAAATAGCAAAGATTCTAGGGATCTAGAAGTGAGTTATTTTAGGACTGGCCATTTACCCTCATGGGCTCAAAGCCCATGTGTTAGTTTCTTATTGTCCACTAGGTGGTACTGTGAGGGGCCAATATTTGCAAGTTATCTTGTCCCTCAGCTCCAGTTTATTTTGAGATTAGCAGATTTATGAGCTAGAAAATCTTTTCAGGTTCCCAGGCATTCCAGAAGAGGGTACGTAGGTCTCCCTCCTCTCCCCAACTATAACCTAGTCCTACAAATTGAGGAAGATAGAGAATCTGGGATTCAGAGGGTACAATTTTTGGTCACTATTGCCGTCTCTCAAAAGAGATAAGGAATGCTTTTCATTCTCCCTTGGAGATCAAAGATGTTGAACTGCAGTGGAAGTGATGGAAGTTATATTCCAAAATGAATAACTGACTGGGGGTAATATAATTGGCTGAGAGGAGGAGAGAGAGCAGATGTTAAAAAGATCTCTTCCTTAGGAAAGCAACACGTCACAGAATTTTATTAAATTCAGGAAACACTTTTTAAGAGCCTTCTATAGGACAGGAAAATACAAAGTTCCATAAATTTTGGTAACTCCTCTCTAGAACCTCAAGAAAAATAAAGAGGTAAACACTTAACAATAATACAGTGTGATAGATATTAGGGGAAGACACAGGGTGCTGTGGAAGCAGAGAAGGGGTCCCAAAGTTAGCTGAGGGAGTGAGGGGTGGAGACGCAGTGATCAGGAAAGGCTTTCCAGAGGAGACCACCCCTTGGCTGAGGCTGAATCTGGAAGGATGAATAGGAGCTCTCCAACATCCTAGAAATCTACACGGTTCTGCCCTACTGATCTCCCCTGGCGATTTCAATAATTACCTCTATGCTGCCTGGCCGGGTGTGGCACAGTGGTTGAGCCTCGACCTAGGATCCAGGAGATCAAGGTTCGATTCCCAGTCACAGCACATGCCCGGTTTGTGGGCTGCAGCCTATCAATGAACCTCTCATCATTGATGTTTCTATCTCTCTCCCTCTCCCTTCCTCTCTCTGAAATCAATAAAGATATATTTTTTAAAAAATAATAATTACCTCTATGCTAATAACTTCCAATCTTTCTCTAGCCCAGTCATCTCTAAAACCTGCCCATCCATCCTAATTGGTTTGGCTCAGTGGTTAGAGTGTCGATCCACAGACTGAAGGATCACTGGTTCGATTCCAGTCAACGGCATGTACCTCATACCTCTGTTGCAGGCTCTATCCCTGGCTCAGGTTGGGGCACGTGTAGAAGGCAACCAATTGATGTGGCTCACATCTGTGTTTCTTCCTCTCTGTCTCTTAACCTCTCTAAAAAATCAATGGAAAAAATATCCTCAGCAAAGATTAACCATGAATAAATAAATAAATAAATACATTAATCAATTAATCAATCAATCAATCAATTAATTAATTAAAAGTAATAAAACAAACCTGCCCATCCAGTGCCCTGGCTGGTGTGGCTCTCAGTTGTTTGAACGTCATCCCAGACTCCAAGAGGTCACCAGTTCAATTCCCTGCAGGGCACATGCCTAGAGTGAGGGCTCAATCCCCAGTAGGGGGCGTGCAGGAGGCAGCCAATAGATGTTCCTCTCTCACATCAATGTGTTAAAATTTTTTTAAAATTACAATTGATGTCCAATATATTAGTTTCAGGTGTACAACCCCATGATTAGACATTTATATAACTCATGAAGTGATCACCCTGATAAATCTAGTGTCCATCTGACACCATATATACTTTTACAATATTATTGACTATATTTCGTATGCGGTACTTTACATCCTCGTGACTATTCTGTAACTACCAATTTGTACTTTTATTATTATTATATTATTTTTAAATCCTCACCCAAGGATGTGTTTTCCATTGATTTGTAGAGAAAGAGAGGGAGAGAGAGAGAAGCATCTATATGAGAGAGAAACATCAATAGGTTACCTGCCTCCCACCTCCCACATGTGCCCCAACCTGGGTTCCAACCCACAACCTGAGTATGTGCCCTGACCAGGAATTGAACCTGCCACCCTTTGGTGCATGGGACAATGCTCTAACCAACTGAGCCAGGCCAGGGCTCTTCTTTTTATTATTTTATTTTTATTTTTATGTTTTAATTTTTATATATTTTTATTGATTTCAGAGAGAGGAAGGGAGAAGGAAGAGAGAGAGAAACATCAACAATGAGAGAGAGTCATTGATCAGCTGCCTCCTGCACGCCCCTTGTTGAGGATCAAGCCCGAAACCTGGGCATGTGCCCTGACAGGGAATCAAACCTCAATCTACAGGATCATAGATCAATGCTCAACTGCTGAGCCATGCCAGCTGGGCTTTTCTTCTTTTTAAAGAAGACCCTTTAGCCTTGACTGGTGTGGCTCAGTTCGTTTGGAACATGGTTCTGTGCACTGAAAGGTGGTGGATTTGATTCCTGCTCAGGGCACATACCCAGATTTCGGGTTTGATCCCCAGTCAGGGCATGTGCGGGAGGCAATAGATGTCTCTCTCTCTCTCTCTCTCTCTCTCTCCCCTCTCTAAACATCTATTTTTAAAATCTTTTAAAAAATGTGATTTGAAAAAAAAAAAGACCCTTTATTATTTCTTTCTTTCTTTTTTTCTTTAAGATTTTTTAATCTGCCTTCTGTATATCCCCCACCACGAATTGAGCCCACAACCCGGGCATGTGCCCTGACTTGGAATCGAACCAGCAACCCTTTCAATGCACAGGATGACACCCAACCAACTGAGCCACACCTTCCAGGGCTAACATTTCTTGTAATACTGGTTTGGTGGTGATGAACATCTTCAGCTTTTTCTTATCTGGGAAACTCTTCATCTGTACTTTGATTCTAAATGATAGCTTTGCTGGGTAGCCTAATCTTAGTTGTAGGTCCTTGCTTTTCATCACCTTGATTGTTTAGTGCCAATCCCTTCTGGCCTGCAAAGTTTCTGTTGAGAAATCAGCTGATGGTCTTATGGGAGCTCCCTTGTAGGAATCTAATTGCTTTTCTCTTGCTGCTTTTAAGATTCTATGTCTTTAATCTTTGGCATCTTAATTATGGTGTGTCTTGGTGTGGGCCTCTTTTGGTTCATCTTGTTTTGGTCTCTCTGCACTTCCTGGACTTGAATGTCTAATTTCTTCACCAGATTAGGGAAATTTTCCATCATTATTTTTTCAAATAGGTTTTCAATTTCTTATTTTCTCTCTTCTCCTTCCAGCATCCCCATGATGTGAATGTTGATATGCTTAAAGTTATCCCAAAGCTTCCTTACACTCTTCTCATTTTTTGGATTTTTTTCTTTATACTGTTCTTTTTTAAAAAATTAATTGATTTAGAGAGAGAGAGAGGAAGGGAGAGAGAGAGAAACATTGAATTGTTGTTCCACTTATTTATGCATTCATTGGTTGATTCTTGTATGTGCCCTGACCAGGATCAAACCTGCAACCTTTGCATTATGGAATAATACTCTAACCAACTGAGCTCCTCAGCCAGGTCTTTTTGCTGTTCTGATTAAGTGTTGTCTGCTTCTTTATTTTCCAAATTGCTGATTTGATCCTCTGCTTCATCTACTCTACTGTTGATTTTCTGTAATGCATTCTTCATTTCAGTTAGTGTATTCTTCATTTCTGACTGGTTCCTATATTCTTTTTTTTTTTTTTTTTAATGCTGTTGAAGTTCTCACTAAGCTTCTTGAGCATCTTTATAACCAGTATTTTAAACTCTGTATCTGGTAGATTGCTTGCCTCCATTTCTTTTAGTTCTTTTTCTGGAGATTTTTCCTGTTCTTTCATTTGGAAACTGTTTCTTTGTCTCCTCATTTTGGCTGCTTCCCTATGTTTGTTTCTATGTATTGGGTAGAGCTGCTACATCTCCTGGACTAGGTAGAATGGCCTTATTTAGTAAGAGTCCTGTATGGCTCCATGGCACAGCTTCCCCAGCCATCTGAGCTAGGCACTTTAGGTGTGCCCTCTGTTTTGTGTGGGCTGTGTGCACCCTTCTGTTGTAGTTGAGCCTCAATTGCTGTTGGTAAGTCATTAGAAGGGATTTACCCCCAAGCTGTTTGGCTGCGAGGACTGGCTGCACCTACAGCAGAGGAGCTGCTGTGCAGGGGTTGACCCCATGGAGCAGGACTCACTTCAGTGGGACTTTGGTGCCCGCTGAGACTGCCCCTTGAGTGTGTTGTTAGCAGAGGTGGTTGGGATGTAATCCAGAGTGGTCTGGAACTGTCCACTGGGTGCACTGGTTCTGGGGCCTATGAGGAGGCACAGGCCAATGTCAGTCACTGCCTGTGCCCTGCCAGGGGCCACCCTGCATGAACTATAGAGCAATCTGTGATGGTTGCTATGTGTGCTGGGCTTGGAGTTGCACAGGAGAGGCCAAGTTGTGAAGCTGGCTACCACTAATTTGAGGCCAGGGGCCACTTAGCAAGATGTATATGGTATGCAGAGGCCAAGTGCTGCTTATTTGAGAGATTTTAAGAAAGTTCAAAGCATGAGCCAAAAGAAGCCTTTTGTATGAAAAAGCCACAGGAGACGGCTTGGATGGGCTTTGTTCCATCAGGCAGCTAGTTTACTTGAATATCAGCTTGATACTTTGAGACATGTTTTTAAGTTTTGTTAAGATAGGTCTAAAATAGCTTTACTCTTAGGCTAGAAGGAGCCTTACTCCTAAGGCATAGCTTTTTTGGGGTCTCTGCTTAGTGCTCTTAAGTACTCAATAAGGTTTCTCCAGTATGACTGGTTGGAACTCTAATTTTTCTGTCTCTGTATAAGCTCCAGTTATTATTTGCTTTTATAATTCCCCAGCAATTGTTCTTTACCTGGTAGCTGATTTTTGGCCAGTTTCATGGTGTCTTGCCTCTCCCTTCCATGTATGGGCAATCTATTGTTCAAGAAAAGGCTCACAGGGCTATGGATATTTGACAGTAGTACTCTCATATTCTCACAAAACCCAGGCTCCTCAGCCTCCCCCAAAATCTAATCTCTGTCCCCTCACCTCAGCAAAACCACAATATTCTGCTTTTATTTCCCATCACTGTGCTATAGTCTGGAAAGTATCTCTGGGCAGGTAGTTGGGACAATTGAAAGGCTCACTTAATTTATTTTCTTCCTTTTTCTTTCAAGGATCACAATCCTGTGCTGCCTTTGTCCAATATCTGAAAATAGTTATTTCATATATTTTGTTCAATTTCTAGTTTTCATTAAAAGGTGGGAGGACTAATCTGATACTAGTTACTTTGTCATGGTAAAAAATAAACAGACATTTCAATTTTCACTGGATACAGAATTCTAGGTTGACAGGTTTTTTTTAGTACTTTAAGGATGTAATTCCACTGTCTTTTTTTTTAAATCCTCACTCAAGGATATTTCTTCCATTGCTTTTCAGAGAGAGTGGAAGAGGGAGAGAGAAATAAAAACATCAATGTGAGAGAGACACATTGATTGCTTGCCTCTTGCTCTCGCACTGACCAGAGCTGGGGATCAAGCCTGCAACCAAGGCACATGCCCCTGGCCGGAATCAAACCCAGGACCCTTCAGTCCGCAAGCTGATGCTCTAACCACTGAGCAAAACAGGCCAGGGTATCTTTTTTCTTTTTAAATCCTCACCCAAGGATATGCTCTCATTGATTTCAGAGAGAGAGGAAAAGAGAGAGAGAGAGATGAGAGAGAAACATCCCCCAGTAGCCTCCAGCCCGAGCCCTGACTGGGGATCAAAACTGCAACCCAGGTGTGTGCCCTGACCGGTAATTAAACCCTCAACCCCTTGGTACATGGGGTGACACTCCAATCAACGGAGCCACCCAGCCAGGGTTCTTTTTTTGGTTTTTGTCCGTTTGTTTTGTTTTTGTTTTTTGTACTTCAGTCTTGGAATTCAGAACTCTACTTTGGTAGGAAAGCATAGAAGTATGTGGGGGACGCAAAAAGTATGTGGGATGAAGCATGTAGCTATGTGACGGGAGGGCTGCCTGACATACATCTGTCTGTGGGAATGACAGTGGGGAAGGTTTTTATGTGCCTTTTGTTTTTGTAGAAAGGAAATCATGGAAAGACCCAAAGAGTACATTTTACATCTGGAGTTTTAAAAATAAAGATGGTTATTTAATGAAAAAAAAAAAATAAAGCTGTGATTGTGTTTTATTAAATTACATATATTGGGATGACATTGGTTGATAAAATTATATAGATTTCAAGTGTAAAATTCTATGATATATCATCTGTATATTGCATGGTGTGTTTACTATCCAAAGTCAAATCTCCTTCCACCACAATACATTTGACCCCCTTTACCCTTTAGTACCCTCCCTTACCCCCTTTCCCTCTGGTAACCACCATACTGTTGTCTGTGTCTATGAGTTTTTGTTTGTTTGTCTTGTTTGTTCATTTGTTGCTTTCAGTTTTATATCCCACCTATGAGTGAAATCATATGATTCTTGACTTTTTCTGTCTAACTTATTTTTCTTAACATCATATTCTCAAGATCCATCCATTGTCTTCTGACTTGTATTGTTATTTTTGTTTCCTTATATGTAATGTGTATTTATCAGAAATTAAAAGTAAAACAACACTTCCTTTCAAGCTCAGCATTTGGGTGGTAGTTCCCCTCGACATGTCTATCAAGAAATGTTATTTCTTTTGGGGCTCATACACCCCAGCCATGACATGATGTTTGTCCACAATGATTGCAAGGTGTTTAGATTCTGTAAATTCAAGTGTCATAAAAACTTTAATAAGCCCTGGCTGGGTGGCTCAGGTGGTTGGAGCATGGTCCTGTGCACCAAAGGGCTGTGGATTCCATTACCCGTCAGGGCACCTACCTAGGCTGAGTGTTCGATCCCTGGTTGGGTGCACACGGGAGGAACCCATCAAGGTTTCTCTCTCACATCGATGTTTCTCTCTCTCCCTGCCCCCCTTCCGCCCTCTCTAAAAATCAATGAACATATCCTCTGATGAGGATAAAAAAAAAACCAATCCAAACCTTTAATAAGGGCCTGGCCAGTGTGGCTCTGTTGGTTGAAGCGTGATCCCGTGCACCAAAGGGTGCTTGGTTCAATTACAGGGCAGGGCACATACCCAGCTTTCGGGTTGGATCCCTCCCTGGTTGGGGCACATGTGGGAAGTGGGCTGATCGATGTTTCTCTCTCACACTGATGTTTCTCTCTCTCTTTCTCTCTTTCTTTCCCTGCCTTTCTCTAAAATAAAATTTAACAGAACTGAATAAGAAGCACAATCCCAGCAAGGCCAGGTGGACTGAAACATCCCATAAAGCAGCTGGTAAAGAGCTTACAGTGGATAATTCATTTGAATTTGAAAAACATAGAAATGAACCTGTCAAATACCATCAAGTGCTGTGGAATAAAATGATTGATGCAATGAAGAGAGTCAAAGAGATCAAACATAAATGTCAACCTAAATTTATAATGAACAGGTTGAAGAAAAATAAAGAACTACAGAAAGTTCAGGACATCAAAGAAGTCAAGCAAAACATTTGTCTCATCTAGGCCTGTTTTGTGTGCAAAGGAAAGCAGCTGGAAAACAAAATGGTATAGAAATTACATGTAAACATGGAAGTTGTTTCTGAAAATCTTACTGTCGGTAACCATTTCTATGAGCGCACTGGAAAATCTCCTTTAGAGACTTAGAACGTTTAAATTATTGATTTTTTGAACATAAGGTGGGTGACTCAAGGGAAAAGGTGATTAAAAATAACACATCTCTTCTACATTGCTATCTGCAAAACATCAGATGCTGGATTGCATCTCAAAGTTAAACCTTCACTGATAGATTAACTTATATAAATCATGAAAACTCTGTAAAGACAGAAGTGAATTGTGGACATAAAATAGTCATGCCACTTGGATAACGGTGCTGGGCAGCATTTATGTAATAACTAATGACAAAAATTTATGGCTAGTGATATATAAAATTTTCTTTGCAGTAAAAATATTCTGTTTATTAACTTTATACAAAGGGAGATGCAACAAGGCACTGACACTCTGTATGATAATTAGCATCAAGTACTCATATCTTTTTATTTCAGTATTTCCTGTTTTGGTTTATTAACGTCTTAGAAGAACATATGACCTCAGATTGAAGCTTACCTCTGTTGAACTGTTTGACCTGGATTAACTGTTCGAAGAGGTAGTTGTGGATTTTGAGGGTGAGAGTTGAACAGACTGCTCCTGAAATGGGACTGGCTCTATAATTTCCACTTTGAAGAAAAATTCGAACTTGAGATTCCGGGTAGAACAAACTTTATTTTTCCAGCTCAGCAATGGTTTGGAAGCAGAGAAATCCAGTGCCTTTTAACATTTTTGTCTGATTTTCTTTTAAAAAGCAAGTTGTTTTTGGAAAATCAAATTTATGGTAGAATGTCTATACATTATTTGCACATAAAATCATTTCTACAGTAACTGCCTACATATTTATTATTTAAAGGTGCTAAACAAAGGTACAAAGTATCAATTACTTGGAAGAAAATAACTTCACCCACATGCACTACTGAAGTAGGAGATATAAAGGAAAATATACAATTAATACTTCATGTTTCTATATTTTTACATTATTTACAAGTTAGTATGTTAAGAGTATTAAGTAACTCAGTTTTTACATATTTTTAAGGATGGAATTTAGAATAAATTACAAATTCATGGGGTCATAAAAAAAGTAAAACAACGAAAAGATCCCAGGGTTGGTAAGTATCAGGGAAATGGGCACACATTCTTCTGGTGGTGCAAATTGTCAGTCTTCTTGTAGGAACAATTTGTTAAAAAATATTAGGTGCCCTAGCTCGTTTGGCTCAGTGGTTAAAGTGTTGGCCCTCAGACTGAAGGGTCCCTGGTTCGATTCCAGCCAAGGGCACATACCTCGGTTGCAGGATCCCTGGCCCTGGTTGGGGTGTGTGCTGGAGGCAACCAGTTAATGTATCTCTCGAACGTCGATGCTTCCCCCCCCCCCTTCTATTCTCTCTGATAAAAGAAATGGAAAAAAATATCCTCTGGTGAGGATTAAAAACTAGTAATAAGTTTAGCCAGTGTGGCTCAGAGGTTGAGCATGGAGGTTCAATTCCCGGTTAGGGCACATGCCCGGGGTGCAAGCTGGATCCCCAGCAGGGGGAGTGCAAGGGGCAGCCAATCAATGACTCTCATCATTGATGTTTCTATCTCTCCCTCTCCTTTCCCCTCTCTGAAATCAATAAAAAATATATATTTTTAAAATAATAAAAATATTAGAAGCCTGGCTGTGTGGCTCAGTTGGTTGACTGTCACTCTGTGCACCGAAGTGTCACAGGTTCAATTCCTGGTAAGGGCACAAACCCAGGTTTCAGGTTTGATCCCTGGTTGGAGCTCATTAAGGAGGCAACTGATCGATGTTTCTCTGTCACATAGATGTTTCTCTCTCTCTCTGTCTCTAAAATCATTAAAAACATATATATATATTTAAATGTCTTTATTGATTTCAGAGAGAGGAAGGGAGAGGGTGAGAGAGAGATAGAAACATCAGTGATGAGAGAGACCTTTCTGGGGATCAAGCCCGCAACAGGGCATGTGCCCTGACCAGGAATCGAACTACAATCTCCTGGATCCTAGGTTGATGCTCAACCGCTGAGCCACGCCCAGCAGGGCTGCATTATTTTTAATACACCAAAAAGAGCACAATAATGGTTTTGGGTGTTTTTTTTTTAAGTTATTATTTTTTTTAATCCTCACTGGAAGATATTTTTTCCGTTGCTTTTGAGTGGAAGAGAGAGAGGGAGAGAAACATCAATGGATTGGTTGCCTCCCACATGTGCCTTGACCAGGGCCAGGGATCGAGCCTGCAACGAAGGTACATGCTCTTGACTGGAATCTAACCCCGTACCCTTCAATTTGCAAGCTGACGCTCCTACCACTGAGCCAAACTGGCTAGGGTGCACAATAAAGGTTTTTAAAAATATATTTTAGCCATTCTTTATCTGTGAATTGTTCTCAGAATCCTCCAACTGAAAATGGGTCTTTCCTTATCCAAATTTTATAGCCCCTCATATGTCTCTCATGGTACTTATACCGGCCCTGTGTATCAAAGTTATTCATGAACCTCATTTACCTCTCCTGCTGAGCACGTCCTAAATTGGTAATATTGCCTATTTCAGCACCCTTTGATTAACAATCTGTATCACTCAAGTTGGCACACTCAGGCAAAGTCTAGTCTGATCCAGGCACCAAACCTGATCAAGAGGAAGGGTTAAGGCCCTGGCCAGTGTTGCTCAGTGGTTAGAGCGTCTGCTGGGCACCGAAGTGTCATGGTTCGATTCCGGGTCAAGGGCGCGTACCTGGGTTGCATGTTTGATCCCTAGCCCTGGTCGGGGCACACAGGAGGCAAGCAGTCGCTGTGTCTCTCTGACATCTATATTTCTCTCTCTCTCTTCCCCTCCCCTCTTCTCTTCCAGTGTTTCTAAAATCACTGGGGAAATATCCTCAGGTGAGGATTAACAACAACAACAAAAGAGTAAGTGTTGGGTCCTCCTAAGTGCAGATATTTCTAGGGTTAATGATACATGGATGGGTTATATAACCCAGAATTTAGAAATAAAAGAAATTATTGGGAGGAACAACACTGTAAACAACTTATATATTCATCAAGCAATTAACATAGATACACATACCATTAATTACAAGTGTGGTTTTGTTTAATGCAAATCCAGCGTTCCACTTCTGGGATGGCAAGCTGGTTCTAACTGAATCATAAAAACATTATCTTATCTAGCAATAATGTCCCAGAAAATAGTGCACAGGCTGTAACAATCCTAAAACTTCTTAATACAAATGCAAATTCGGTGAATTATAGTTTGTTGTTTTTTTTTAAAATATATCTTTATTGATTTCAGAGAGAGGACAGGAGAGGGAGAGAGAGAGATAGAAATATCAATGATGAGAGAGTCATTGATTGAGCCCACAACCCGGGCATGTGTCCTGACCGGGAATCGAACCCTGATTGCCTGGATCCTAGGTGGACGTTCACCTGCTGAGCCAGGCCCGGCCGGGCGAATTATAGTTTTTAATGTACAATGTTAGGTTCAATGTTTTCTGCTCTACTTCTTTCTCCCCTTGGTTCAAATATTTTTTACACTTTGTACATACTTTTTCCTACTAAGATGGGAGCTCCTCATAGCAGTAGAAATTAGTCTTATTAGTACCTGAATCCCTGGTTCTTGGACCTAGCACATAATGAAACACAATATAGATGTTTGCTTGTGGAATGAATCTAGTCCCTAGGGTTCACAGTCAGAAGACCTGGGTTCAAATTTAAATTCCACTTGTGGGAAAAACTTAATTTTTCTGGATATTACTTTCCTACATTTAAAGATAAAAATGATGATAAAACCTAATCAGCAACATTGTTATAAGACTTAAATGAGATAATGAATATGAAGACACTTTGTAAACTGTAAGTTCTATGCTAAAGTTATTAATAAAGTTTTGAAATAGAGAACTGATGGTAAGATCATGAAATAACCAGGGAAGACCACATAGATGCTACCCAAGACAATTCAACAAGATGTTATTTAGTATGTTGGTGTGTTTACCATGGCCAGGGACTTGCAAATATATCTACAGACACAGGCATCTGGTTTTGTTAGCACAGAAGTTATATCCTGGAGTCAGACTCATATTAGTCAAGCTCACAGGTTGATACATAAACCAGAGGAGAGGATATGAGCTAGGATGTCAGCTTACCAGTTTACATATACTATACCTATCACGAGGAACAGAATATCTGGGTCAGCACAACTAGTACTCTAACTTCCCACAAACGTTGCACCTAATTTGGTTCACCGAATTATATCCAGAAAGTTGGTTGGTGTGCATGTATGTTTCCCATGACTGCTGTAACAAATTACCACAAACATGGTGGCTTAAAACAGCAGAAATTTCTGTGTTCTGAAGTCCAGAATTCCAAAATCATTATCAATGGATCAAAATCAAGGTGTTAGCAAAACTGCACTCCCCTCAGAGGCTCTAGGGGAGAATCCATTCCTGGCCTTTTCCAACTTTTGGTGGTTGCCACCATTTCTTGCCTTATGACAGCATCACTCCAACCTCTGCTTCCATCTTCACATTGTCTTCTCTGTGTGTGTGAAATCTCATTCTCCTACTTTATAAGGATACATGTGAGTGCATTTAGGGCCCACCCAGATAGTCCAAAATAATTTTCTCATCTCAAAATTCTTAATTTAATTATATCTGCAAAGATCTCCTATCCCCACACTTTTATTTATTTATTTATTTATTTATTTATTTATTTTGCCATATAAGGTAATATTTTTAGGTTCCAGGGGTTAGAAGGCAGATCTATTTCTTGGGAGGCATATTTTTCAGCCTTCAGCAGGATGGAAATTGAGACTAAGGGAGAAAATTATACACTAGAAAGGCTGAAGGCATAATGCTTCATTGTTTAATGCATTTCCTTTCACAGTAGAAATGGCCTTGTCAAATGGCCTGAATACTCAAGTTCATTGCCAAGATTCATTCTTTCAATACAGTGCTTGAATGGGCATTGCCAGTGTTTGCTTCTATGACTCTGCTTTTTGATG